GAGATCAAAGACAGATCAGACAGTTCTCAAAGTTAGTTGGGTCATTGGTACTTTCTTAGGCAGTCAGTCATTTTGTTTTCCACTGTCATCCTTGGGATATATCTGTTTTCTAATTCCAAATTCATAGCTCTCACTTCAGCTCTTTCTAATCCTGTTTAGCACACTCATTTAGTAACTCCTTATTGAGGGCCCTGTGTCTGCAGGAATTGTGCTGCACTGGTGAACAAGCTAGGCCTGATGAGTGTCTGCTCCTTTGAGCTGGGGAGACTCCATATCCTCTCTTCTGGAAAAACCTGTCCAGCCCTGTTAAGTAGAGATAGGAACTTGTGAAAGTGTTATGTGTATCCTGGGTACTCTTAGGAGTCTAGGCACACAGACATGAGTTGCAGGCCACTGTAGCGAGGTATGGGCCCCATCTCTCCTTCCTGATCTTTGGTGTAATGGTGGCTTGGAGAGTAACAAAAGCATCAGGCTTCTGAGGTTGCTGCAATGGAGAATGGCCATCCCTTCTTCATCCCAGCCTTCATTGCTGAGCTCTCCTTTCAAGCAGCAGTGCTGGAACAGACTGGGTAGAACAGCTTGGACAAAGCTATTTATTTCCTCCCATTGATGCCAACCAAAGTCAGCAATGCCAGGAAGATCTCTTTCCTCTGCACCAAATGTGGCTGCTCCACAGTTTCCCTTGATTTCACTGTTCTCATTTTTACTAGCTAACTTTGATGTCTTCCCCTCTTCCTGTAGGGTAGCTTTCCCCTCTGATCATACTTTCTACTCAACAGTGTTTGTTGTGGCTACAGGTGGTATTCCCGCAGATATAGGGAACTCATTGAGGACAGAGACCATGAGAACCTGCCCCACCAACACTGTCATAACTTGAAATGCAAGGACAAAAATTGGCAGCAAGTACAATGATATATTGTGGTCTTTTCTTTTTAAAAAAATATATATATATTTTATTGATTTTTTACAAAGAGGAAAGGAGAGGGATAGAGAGTTAGAAACATCGACCAGCTGCCTCTTGCATCAAGGTGATCCTCAAAACATGACTTTGGCATCTTCTGTAAGAATTTGCTTTAAAGAATATACTTGGGTGGTAAAGCCAATTACCTTTAAAAGAACTTTACAGTTTGGCTTTTTAACTGTTCTGTCCTCTAATGAACAGTGCAATGTTATACTATTTATTGTGAGTAATCTTGTGAAGATTGCTTTCTAGCACAGTAGGAAAAAAACATTCTAATAGTGATTTCTTTTTTTTAGTTTATGTAGTGCCATTACATGAAAGTGTCATTAAATTCAGTGTTTCTAGAATTATTTATTTTAATTATTGCTCCATTTAGTCCTAGAGATTTATGTTTCTCTAACCCAACTTAGATATCATTTTGTGAACCTTTGAAGGGAGAGTGTTCAGCTAATTGTAATATCTTTAAAGGATATTGACCCTGCAATAGCTTCAGTTATTATATAAAAATAGTGACCCCATGTCTGTATCCTGCAAATATATATATGGATTTTGGTTCCTATATAGTTTTAGATGTGGTACTGAGATATTGAGCAAACTCTCTTGAGGAAGGAATCAGCATCTGTCAGCCTTCAAAAGCTTTTAAAAATTGATTATATGTTATTAGCAAAGGTTTACTGCCTCCTTCTAGTATATAAAAAATAAATGCATTTTTATGCATTCATCTCTAAGAAGGCAGATGACCAAAAAGATCATGCAGCTGTTGTCCAAAGCTATGATGAGAGAAGGAAGGGATAGAACCTTTATAAAAGATACCATCTCACTAAATATGTTGAGGTGGTGGAAAGATACAATAATTTAATTTGTTAAGATACTGCTGCTTTATGCTGGATCTAATTTGAAGTAGTTACTCTAAAAGTTGCTTTTTAATTAAATATACTTAAGAAATTTGCTCCAGTTGAAGTTAGAAAGTTAGAAGTCAGGTAACTGACATGGAGAAAACTGTTTGTTTGTTTGTTTCTTTTAACAAACCTGCTTATGAACATGGTGAACAGAAGTAATTTAATGTTTTTAATTTTTCTTGTATTTGACTACAAGTCACAATACACACAATAATACATAATAGATAAATGTGGCGGCAGGGTTTGTACCAGCCATCTGCCCTTTTTTTCCTTACAAAAGAACAAAGTAACAGCAGTATTCATTTTAACTACAGAAATACTACAGTAGTATAAAATTCTCTATATTTTAATCTCTTGTGTTCTTCGTGATCTTTAATTTGCTAAATAGTTGCAAAGAATGAATCTAGCCTGCATCAACTTCTGAATAAACAAACAAAAAACAATTCTACCTATCTCTGAAAAAATAGTAATTTATTAATTCTGAAGTTTAAATTATCAGATGCAGCTGCATTTTGTTTCTGTTTGAATTTAGGGAGAGGGGGAAGGAGCTCTCTGTAATATACAATCTGAGCTACTGTGATATGCAGTCACAGAGATTAAACTGAGTATAGGGGAACTGTTAAGTTGATGGAACCATGGGAAACACTTATTCTTAGCATAGTGTGAGATTTAAAAGCAATATTATAGGCATAGTTGAAAATTGTAGGAAAAAATAAACCCAGATGGATTAAGATTAAATGGTTTTTAAAAGTGAGGAAGAATACTAAGGCGAAAGACTTGCTATTAGAAGCAATGAAGGAAATTGCAGAGAAAATGATCAATAGGTATCCTATATAATAAAAAGGTAATATGCAAATTGACCCTCACCTCATCACACCATCACAAGATGGCTGCACCCACAGCAGAGGTGGGGTTCTCCTAATGAGAGAACAGCAGGAACCTGAGGCTGCATGGTGCCAGGCTAGGGCAGGGTACCCGAGGCTGCGCCCCCCACCCAGTGGGGCTTGACAGGGGACCTCAGGCCACGCCCCCAGCCCAGCGGATGGCTGCACCCACAGCAGAGGTGGGGTTCTCCTAATGAGAGAACAGCGGGAACCTGAGGCTGCATGGTGCCAGGCTAGGGCAGGGTACCCGAGGCTGCGCCCCCCACCCAGTGGGGCTTGACAGGGGACCTCAGGCCACGCCCCCAGCCCAGCGGGATTTGCCGGGGGACCTGAGACTGCATGCCCCACCTGGCGGAGCTTGACGGGACCCCAGACTCTGATAGGAGGAAGATTTTCATATACATTACTAATTTTCTTTCATCTCTGACACTTCTATTATAGAGAAAGGGCAAATAGCAGTATTAAAATATTTCCTCTAATTAATTCCTTTTTAACGTGCACAAATTTTGTGCACCGGTCCACTAGTGAATACATAAATATTTAAAACTACTTTTAAACTTTATTGCACAGGTAATGCATATTTGCTGTAGAAATATTGGGGGGGGGGGATAAAAAATAAAAACCAACAATAATTCTGCCAACTAGCAGTAGCAGCTCTATAATTACCATTTTGACAGTTTTGTGATCCTCCTACCACACTTAAATTTAATTTCCCATACATAAAAATTTTGTAATGTACAAACAGGTAAATTGGAAAAGTGTTTTCCAGCATAGACAAAGAATTTATTACTTTAAAATATGTAAGTAGCTTATGTGAGTAAGAAAAACACATCTCAAAGACTAGTAGGCACAGGACAGAAAGAGACAAACCACCCTATCACTACGTGTGCATTGTCCAGCAGACATTGAGCACCTGCCTGCTAATAAGTTAGGCATCCTTATTAAAGTTGTGCGTACTGTGCACATAAACAGCTGTTAAAGGGACAGACATGTCACAGTCATCTATATGTTTTATTCCAACATTTTGAGGTATAATTAAGATACAAATTAAAATGTGCAGAAAATATTTTTCTTCCATTGAACTTTTAAGAATAATGTAGGAGGATGTATTTTTTAACTTGGGATGGGCAAATGTTTATTAAATAGGATACTAAAAAGAAAGCTAACAGTAAAGGAAAAGATTCGTAAATAGAACTACATTGAAATTAAAAACTTCTCTTCATTTAAACACACTATTAATATGCAGAAATAGTCTTAAATTCCTCCCACCCCTGTCTGCATTCCCCTCTGAGTGTTGACTCTAATCAAGAGGTAGAAAATCACTTTTGAATTTGTCCTTGGCTAGCAGAGTATTGGTGATCATGACACAAACAGAGGTATAAAAAAATATTTGCATGTTGGGCCTTGCCCTCTCCTGCTGTTTTGAGAATTGTACAATCACTACCATGTGAACAAGCCCAGGCTAGTTTATCAGATGGTGAGTACCATGTGGCCTGATTACTGCCATTGCCCTTGTCAGTAGCCAGCCAAGCATCAGATATGTGAGACCATGGGGCTACCAGCTGACCACAAGTGCATATTAGAACCCAGCTAACATCACATAGAACAGAGACATGGCATCCCAGCCCAAAGAGCCAACCTCTAGAATCATCAAGTTGGTAGTTAAAAGCCATTATGTTTTAGGGTGGTTTAATACAAAGCAAAAGACAGATGATACAGAGAAAGATATTTGCACAGTGTATAACCACCAAAGGACAATTTCTAGAATAAGGAACACTCTATATCATTTAGAAGAGAGACAACTTAATAGAAAAAAAAGTGGACAAAGCCTAAGTATAATCTGATTTCAACTATATGACATTTCTGGAAAAGTCAAAGTGAGATTAATAACAGTGGTTGTCAGGGTTTGGGGGTTGGAGAGAGAAGGATAGATGAATCGATGGAGCACAGGAGGATTTGGGACAGTGAAAATATTCTGAATAAAACTGTAGTGTGGATATATGTCATTATACATGTGTCAAAACACAAAATTTACAGCACCAAGAATGAACCTTATTCCAATACACTTTACATGCCTATAGCAGCGGGATCTTGCTCTAGTGTTGCCACTTGTTCAGATGTCTTGTGAGCAGTTGTGACATGTGCCACTTAATGATTTTCAATGCTGATGTTATGAATAAGTTACTTTAAAAGAACTAAATTAGAGTGTCAGTAAAGTCATTCCCATACTGTTACTTTTACTTGTTTTATTCAGAGGAGCTCTCGACTGGGAATTTCAGGTAACACTGAGAAGTGCATGACTTCTTGGTGGAAAAAAAAACCCAGAAAACCACAGGCTATGGATTCAAGTAGGTTTTTTCTCTTGTAACCTCATGATAAGACTAGCATGACTTGGCTTGGTAAATAATAAGCATTTACTAAAGTGATGATTTTAGTTTTTGTCAATGTCTTCTCTCACCAAAGAGATATTTTCTTGAAACCTACAGTTTTTAAGACCTTTGCTGTTTATTTAACAACATTCTAAATTAGCTTTATGTCAATAGAGTTGCATCTCATTCATGGACTGGGGTCTAAAAAAAATGAGAAATTTGCATAGATCAGGTTATCCTTAATTTATCCATAATGGATGGTAGTTTAGAAACATTTCAGTGCTAGAACCCTTAATTTAACCCACAAGAGAAGCAAAAAGAAAGACACAGGCACAGATACAGATTGGGGCTTTTGAACCACTCCTGCCTATCCTCGAGTGATCAGATCCTGGTGGTGGGGAGGGAGTGTAGGGAGAGTATCCACTTGTTTGAGGGCTTTACTTCGTCTGTTACACTGTTATTCCTCTGTAACCTTGGTGACTAGTCATGAATGTGTTTGTGAGAGTTACATGTGGCAGTGCCTAGCTCAGAACCTAGCCTAATCTGTTTATCTGGCTAACTTCTCCACTGAAACTCAAGGCACATGGCAGCAGGACTTTTGCCTCTCGTTCATATTCTTAGTGCCTGCCACATAATCCATGCTCAGTATATACAAGGTGGGGCAAAAGTAGTTTCCCAGTTGTTCATATGGAAAATAATACAATCCTGTATAATAAAAGCCTAATATGCAAATTGTCCCCTTGTACGGTCGTTCGACCAGAAGTTCGACTGCTCGCTATGATGTGCGCTGACCACCACAGCGTGGCACAGAACATGATGGGCATCGGCACCGTGCTGTGACCTCTCGCCGGCTACCTGGGCACAGGGGTGACGGGGACAGAGGTGCAGTGAGAATGCAGGGTGTCCGCCAAGCTCACTCTCACTCTCCATGCTACCCTCCCCTGGGATGCCAGGGCTTGCGTGCCAGGGAAGCCCCTGAGCTCAAGTGCTGGGCACCCACAAGGAGCCCGCCTTGCACCCATGTGGCATCTTCCAGGTGAGCTGGGCCACAGCTGCCAGGACCGCAGGGGCTGATCGGGCTCCCCATGGGTTCGCGCAGGAGCCAGTCTACGAGGCCAGCCTGAAGAGAGCACACTGCCTGCCTGGCTTCCGTGCGGTGCCACAGAGTGGCCCAGAGGCCCACACTGTGCTCCGGCCCGCACCGTCCGGCCGCGCTTATTGCATCTCCGCGTGGGGACTCAGGTGCCATGACTCAGGCGGAGGGGGACCTTGGGGACCCAGGTGCTTCCCAGGGCTGAGAGGTCAGCTGGCACCTGCCCTTCTATGCCAGACGCTCACGCTTTGATCACTGACCAGGCCTAGGGACCATACCTGTGCATGAATTTTTTGCACCAGTCTCTAGTAATTAGTAAATAATGTGAGAATAAATTGTTTCCCATACTCAACTGTAAACCCACTTTTGTCCACCCTGTCTTTGGATGAATTGAAGAAACTCATACATCAAGTCTAAACCTTGCTTCCTTCGTCCATATACATAGAGTTCTTTGGAAAGCCATGTGGGAAGAGCTTGGTCACCTTCTCTTTTCCCAAGTTGTTATTTTATTTTTGTGATCTCACTAAAGAACTATCACTTCATGCTTTGGGGCATTGGTTATGTTTTCCTTCTTCATCCCTAATTCCCCAGATGGTGTTCTAGAAAAGTACATTGTACTAGAAAGTATTTAGATTATTGGTTGATAATAATGCAAAAGTCCTTTCTTTGGGTATGGTAACAGAATCATGTTCTGCTCTTAGAATATTAAAGAAATTATTAACCAAATCTGGCTTCATTATGACATTCTGTTTTCCTCCTATTCACACTCTAAATTATGCACAAAAGAATATACAGTTTCGTAATTATGGTTCTCAGTCATTTCAGAATAGGAATATCATGTGGGTTCATAAGGTTCCTCCCTGTGACCATTGAGCTTAGGAAATTAACCATGGAGGGAGGAACTAGTGGTTGGCAGTCTGATTCCCTGTAAAGAAAGGTGTAAACCTTCCACTTCCAGATGTCTGCCAGCTACTTGCATCCTTAGTCAACTGCATCACTATCCTCTGGCAACGTGCTCCAACCCCAGGGCCTGAAATACTTAAACTGTCCTTATGGAAAGCAGAAAGTAAGCAAAACAGAAGTGAAAGTAGATTCAATTTTTTAGACAGTTCTCTTACAGGAATAGTTCTGTGGTTCTCGGCATTTAAAAAGATACTGGTTCCAATATGTTTTATTGACATCAATTACTGTAAGTCTGATTCATTTTCTGCCTATTGATTTCTGCCCAAGGTGAAATTCATGACATTAAACAGAAAACATAAGTGATTAAAAAAACACATACTATTAAGGACTGTAAAAATAAGGTTTAAAGTCAATGACACTTTATAAAGCAATTTTTGTACTTTTTTGTTAATATTTTTGGTAGCATAACCGTAAGAGTTGTTAAAAATTAAGTAAATGACAATGTTAAAGCCCTATTAAGCTGCCAAAAGGTAATTGTAATTTATTTTGAAGATTCTTTATCCTTACTATTGTGTAGCTTTACTCTTACCCTAATGTGTTTGAGCTCTGGCTTTTTAGGTGTGTGCTGGGGCCTCTCTATCCTCTGTTTCTTTGTGTTTCCTAGTTCTCCATGTTGCATTTCTCTGTACTAGCTTTCTTTCTTTCTTTTCTTTTTTTTAATATTAACATTTTTTTAAATTAAATCTTCATTGTTCAGATTATTACAGTTGTTCCTCTTTTTTCCCCTCATAGCTCCCCTCGATCCAGTTT